CAAAACACATTCAAATGATGCTGAAAATTAATGAAAAAAATGGATTTTAACAAACCAGTTTTTGAATTAAAGTGGGTATTAATGATCAAAACAATTTTTAAGCTCTACTATAATGTAAATAATATTAAAAAAATGCATCACCAACCAAATTCTTTATTTTTGTGAATTTATATACATTTTTTTTTTTTAATATTGGTTGATCACCAAAGCTACCCAAAACTAGAACCGCCTAGATCTAATCAGGTGGTTAGTGGTTAGATTGCCCGATTTTTCCAACAGTGATCCAAACCCAACATAGATGGAATCGAATCGTTTGATAAGTGGAACCGCATTGAATTTCACCAGATTATCTGGGGTCTTGCCCGTGGTGTTGTCGAGTTGAAGCTTTTTTTTTGTGTGTTTTAGGCCGTATTTTTTTTATGTTTCCCAGCTCTATCCCTGCCACGATCCAAGAGGAGCTTATCCACGAGCCAGCATCTTTTCAATTGCAACCGGCAACTAAAATAAGGGTGATGATGGCTTACTTTTGGTGTTTATGTATGATAATTTTACAACATTTTAACAGAAGCTCCCAAAGTCAAATTTTGTGTTCTTTCATTCCCTCCAAGAGGATTTTGTATAGATATTATTTCAGTAGGTTTTAAACCTACAATCTCAAGGTTGTAAGAAGTGCTTTTTAAATTGAGGATTAAGCCTTTCAAATAGGAAAAGTTTATATAAGGTTGCAACCTTAAAATGTAGTACATATGCACCTCAATAATCCATCGGAAAAGGTTGTTTTAATGTTGAAAGACCCTCTAATTGATCATCTCGACATCGAGATCCATGAATGTATAAAAAAAAGATTTTGAGTCTCAAAAATAGTGCATCTTGCAACACATTATCTAGACCGTCCATTTTCAAGATTTTCACATGTTTATAGATTTGGAGTTTAAAATTTTATAATTAGATATGAAAATACATTTTTAGATAATCCTAAAAAAAATTTACACTAAAATTACATGTTATAATAAAGTGTGGAAGTATGCCTTTAATTTGATTGTTTAAGATTGCAACCTTATTGAAACCGCACCCTTTCAAATATCATTAATCCCAATGAAATAAGGAAAGTGTATGTTGTGTTAGTGGATAAAGTTGTTGGGCTGTGTCCCCTCACATCTGGATCAGTCCTTTTTATAATGGAGGGCACACATGTCACCCAACTCTTAATTTTCAGACAAGATCTACACCATCCATTGTAAATGGACAGTCCATATAAAAGACAATCCCATAATTGCTTCCCCCAAATACACACAAAATAGATACACCCATAATTATTCAAATTCACCTGTGATATTGAAAAAATTTCCATATGCAGGTACCATGTGCTATGGTCCGCTACTGGTGTAAGCTTTTTCTTCAAGAACCTGTGTGGTACATTGTTGTGTAATCGTTGACATAATAACTATCATGTGTCTCAATCCAAAGGAGCATGTTAATAAATTACCATGTGCCTCAATCCAAAGGAACATATTTATTTAGTGCATCATGTGCCTTAATCCAAAGGAAGGTATTTATTTAGAGGTTTCTAATTTAGTCATTTCTATCAAATAAAAAAGATGCCCCTTATATTTCTAAGGAATGCGGTTGGTATTAGGCACCAACCTCAAATAAGGTGCACTTCAAACCTTATTCAAAGATAGAGTTCTAGTGCCAACAACCTTTATGCTGGCCTGAACTCTTTTATTTATTTATTTATTGAAATTTCAAGATTACTTTTATTATATAGGGAGTCACACTCTTCATCATCCAATCATTTTTCTAACTATTTGAGATTGATTACTCGAATCCTGGTATATCATTCTGCTCTATCAAAGACCATGCTCATGTGAGGTCATAAGTTGCCATATTTTTTGTCACTACTTCCAACCATGTCTTTTTGGGTTTTACCTTTTTGCCTTTTTCTAGCCTTCCACTTGAGCAAATTAGCACATCCTAACAAGTGCTATACTGGGTCTACACTGCACATGGCTATGTAACCTATGTCTACTTTCTCTCATCTTATCACCTATTAGAGCCATACCTAAGTTCTTACGAATGTATTCATTTCAAAATTTATTCCTTCTTGTCTTACTACTCATCTATTTTGACATCATCATCTCATCTACACTTATCCTATAAGCATGTTGTTTCTTGATCGCCCAACATTCTCCCCTATAAAGCAAAGCTGGTCTCACAGTTGTCCTATAGAACTTCCTTTTGAACTTCATTGATATGCGGCGATAACATAAAACTCTAGTTGCTTATCTCCACTTTGCACACTCAACTCTGGTTGCTTAAAATAGTAAAAAGAGCGGAAGAAATAGGTTCCTACTTCTAAAAATAACCATCCTAGACAAACAAAATACGTCTACATCACAGCTAACTATGACCCCAGCAAAGCTAATCATCGCAACATCCACAACTATGGAGCTCTCTAAACTCCTCCACTCAACCTAAACCCTCAATATATGACATCCCATAAACAATAACCTCACTTGCTGGGTTTGGGGCATTTCAACAACCAGCACTATACTGGCAACACCCATAATTGGTGGCGCACCAATGGGGATTGGCGCACTACTAGCGTCCACAAAATAGTGTTTATAAGGAATGGGTTGGAGAGAGGTGGGAGAGAGAAAAGAAAAAAGAGGAAAAGCATTGGAGAAAGGCTAAGAGAGAACACAAATGGGAAATCTCGAAATAGTGACTTTCAAGTTACTGCATCAGACTATTCATAGAGGTCGATACCCCAATAAGAAAGCATTGGCCTCCACGACATGGTGTAGGCATACCGTTAATTAGGCCATTCCCCAACTTGGGCGTTAACTCGAGTTGGTCAAATACAAGGGGCCACCAGGCCCTCAGATCCCTAAAGACCCAAGAAGCCCCTCAACAGGGTGTAAGGACCCCTTAGGAGAGAAAACTCCATTGTAGGCGTTAACTTTTCTTGGCGAGTAGAAAGTTGGGGATGAGGGGAAAAGTCGAAAGCTTAGGAACTGGTCATGCAGGAAAGGCAAAGGGCGGGGGCTTGGCCAAAATTTCAAAACAGATTTCATGCTTGAGCCAAGGCATCCGACAAGTGCATCCGACAAAGTTTGCATGGGCAGCAGGCCAAGGCATCCGACAAGTGCATCCGACAAAGTTTGCATGGGCAGCAGAGATGTTGAGCAGGATTATGCAATTCTTATTATTCTCTTCGACAAAGTTTGCATGGGCAGCAGGGATGTTGAGTAGGATTATGCAATTCTGATTCTTCTCTTTAGGTGACAAGACAATATTTGGCACCCACCAATCTACCCCTCTCACCACCTGTACCACTTGATTTCGCCACCGAGGATAGCTCTCTTGCTAACTACGAATTGACTAGACCCATATCCTTGCTTTTTAATGGAAAGTGAATATTGGCAACATACAAAATTCATAGTTGGCGAGTCTTTCAATTTTTACAACTTTGCATCAGTGGTTTATCCCATGAAAAGTTGGACAGTATTTACTTCAAAATTTGATTTGCCTGCTTTTTCGTTGAAGTTGTGAACAGTGAGCTAGATGAATTCATGTTGCCTCCTGTGGTACATTCCAAGAACATGTAAGACTCTGCAAAACATTTCAAAAATTAGATGAAGGAATAGTTATTCATGAGTCAGCGGGTGCAAGAGCCCGCACTCACCAATGTCCATCTCTAAGAAGGACGCCCGCACTCACCAATGTCCATCTCTAATATGGAAGTCGTAAAAAATCCATGGGCTCAAATGGAATTTCGACAGTGCAAAGATTTTCCTCAAAAAAAAAAAAAAAAAAAAAAAAAAAAAATTCATATTCGTGATCATCTTAACCGAAATCATGAATCCGGATTAAAATCCATTTTTAAGATAGATTTAAGTGGGGGCCTGCATATGTACAGTATGAGTCGGCTGACTCGTAGAAATCCCATCCTTAGGTCTGTAACAAACGTATCTCATTCCAAGATTGACCAATAGGCAGTTCCTCAAGGATCAAATTAAGATTTCAAACCAACAAACAAATGGAAACAAATAAACCGTGCTACCTACGTATCTCTCCCATCAGTGCCCTTCGAAAACACTTCAATTCGTTCAGTAGCATTTTAAATATTCAATCAAGAACAATGTGTGTGAGGACCCAATAAATGGTTACATTGAAGAACACGCAGTGCCATTTTCAATAAATTTTACACAATATAGGGAATACATTTTTCATACACCGACCAAAGTTGAGATGTTGTATGAACAGCTTACATTCTTCACCTGCCGGCCGATTCAAGTTGCACATCATGATGGTTCCCTGAGAATTTCTGAAATCCAGAACAAGCTGAAGCTTCGAAAACCCATGCCTTTTTACTTCCTAATTCACCTCCCATCAACTCTTACATGACATAATTGGCTTATGTGAACTAGAGAAGAATCATATGGTCCTTACAGACATGTAACATGGCACATATATCATTATTCTTCAAATATTTCTCCAGATTTACCAAAATCAGAGGGACATACTCAAGGACCAGTTTCTTGCACTGAAACAAAGAGAAAACATAAGCATGTCTTGCTCTAAGCCAGGATGAATGAACAAGTTAACTTCCAAAAGGATGAAACTTACTTCTTTGACATGATCCTGGACCTCTTCACATGCTTGGAGCAGAATCTTTATCAACTTAAGCTGTAAGAAAAAGGAAACTTAGATACTAGTGGTCTTTATACTTTTATGGCTCATATAGCATGGGAAATAAAAGGGAATGCATGGAATCACTAGTAAACTAAGGGGGTCACCTTTGTCACTGGGTTTCTCAAATCTTTCTCTATCTCATCAATAGCACGGTGACAAGCATCACAACTTATATTACCTGAGGCCTGAAAGAAAGAATTTCAAAAATTTTGCATCAATTGAGATGCGATCTGTGGAGTTGAAATCATCAGCTGTGCAAATACTGGGACTGTATGAGTTGATGAAATAATAGTGCAGGAGAAATCTCAAGAAAGCATATCATTCAATGAGCAGTACAAATGATATCCATCAAAATTATCATTGCAAGAAAAGCAGTATTGATGATCTTCAGACAAGCCATATGTTGCTAAACATAGATTCTTAGATATATTCGATTCAGTTTATAACTTATTATTGTCAAAGGTTCTTCCCCTCAACATCCGCTGGCCCGAGCCCCCTTATTGGGCTCACCCAGTCGAGCCCTCTCACACGAATGCCGATGCGCACAACAAAACCCATACAAAAATATGCCAAAACCAATGTGTGTGTGCATGAATGGGAAAAACATACAAATAAAGCAAATAAGAAATAAAACTTATTTGACACCAAAATTTATGTAGTTCGTCTTTTTAGGCTACATCCACGGGAAAAAAAGACATATCCACTATTAGAATAATAGTTACAATGGTCTTCCAAGAAACAAGCTTTATTGGACTCACTGATTTCTTCTGAAGGTTTTCTCTCTCTCAGAAGCTTCTTTTCTTTTCTAATGACTTTCTCTCTCTAAAAGAAAAGTATCTCTCTCTCTCTATAACATGCTTCTCTCTCTCTCTCTCTTATTCTTCTTCTCTAAGAGAATGATAACTTTCTCCATCTTCTTCTTCTCTCCAAAAGAAAGCTCCCTATATTTTCTAATACACCAAGAAGAGAAACAAAATTTTTTTTTGTATTTTGATACAGCAATAAGAGGCTTTTCAAGAAGAGGATCAACTCAAGATGAGGCACGCTACACCCATTTTATCTCATCTAGCCTCTCACGTTGCTTTCCATATAATGTGGGACTTGATACCCTTTAACAAATCCACCTTATCATCTCAACGTGAGATTATTCTTTTTATGTGGTTTCTCTCTCTCTCTATCTCTCTCTCTCTCAGAGAATCAAAGATGGAATCTTTGACTACGACCACCTTTTATGGATAATTATCAACTCCAACAACTCAATGGGTGTTCACACTACTCCCCCTAATATTGGAGAATATTTAATTGGTGCAGCTCCCTCATGGCATGGGCTTTAATTGGGTGAGCCCAAATAGTTGTATCAGAGTCTTCCCTGACCGTAACCTAACTCTTGAGCATATGCTTACGATGGGGACAAGGTTCAGTGGCTCTCTGTTAATCTTGTTCGTTGACCATAATCAAAGCTCTTGGGCTTCGCCAGGACTTTGATTTTTTTTATTAATTGGCCTTTCGGGATGTTTTGGGACATGTCCTCAGTCAGAGACTATCAGTGAGTGGCCACTGTGCAAAGCTCTTGACCGACAGACCATCAGTCACTACCTTGACAACAAGGAACCGCCATTGTGCAAAAAAGGCCTTGACCAATGGACTGTTAGTCACCACCTTGACCAACAGTGAATCACTTTAACCGCCAGTAACACCCTGAGAGCCGATGAGTGCTTGACTGCCGACGGATACTTGACCGCCGATGAATTGACAGCCGGTGAGTGCTTGACCGCCGACGAATACTTGATCGCCGATGAATTGACAACCAGTGGGAGCTTGACTGCCGATGAGTTGACAAATGACGGATCCTTGACGACGATGGATCCTTGACTATCGACGAATACTTAACCGACGATTGGAGCTTGACAGACGGTGAATCTCCCTGACCACCGGTGAATAGAAAAGAGGGTGTAAGAGATAGTGTGTGTAGATTAACGATGGATTCCAGTACCGAGAGCAGGATGATATCGCTCAATGGGAATAACCGGATCATCTGGAAGCCAGAGATGGAAGATCTACTATACTGCAAGGACTTGTAAACACCCATTGAAGGGGTAGAACAAAAGCCCGAAGGTATGACAAACGATGAGTGGAAGAGACCGGACCAAAAGGCTCTCGGAACCATCCGACAATGGTTGAAAGAAAATGTGTTCCACCATGTGTCCACGGAGACATCCGCTAAGTTATTGTGGAATAAGCTACATAACTTGTACGAGAGGAAGACCATAAGACGTTCTTGATCGGGAACTTGTGAACATGAAGTCTAGGGACGGGGGATCCGTTGCGGAGCACCTGAATGAGGTGCAAAGCATTGTTAACTAACTCGTAACGATGAAGTTGTTTCTGGAAGATGAGCTACATGTTCTCTTTTTGCTCAGCTCACTACAGGACAGTTGGGAGACCCTAGTAGTCTCCGTGAGTAACTCAGCACCTGATGGGATAGTGACCATGAGTCAAGTCACTAATAGCTTGATAAATGAGGAGACGAGAAGATCTTCCGACACATCGCCGCAAGGCCTTGTCACAAATCGAGGAAGGTCCATGAATGGGGACCAAAATCAATCTAAAGATAAAGCTAGATCGAAGACGAGAAAGGGGATCACATGTTTTCATTGTGGCAAGGAAGGGCACATCAAGAACGATTGTCGGAAGCTCAAGAAAGAGCAGAATGAGGACAATGTCAAGAATGATGGATGGGAAACCACTGCAGTGACTACAGATTTGGTGTGGTTGGAAACTGTGGTGATGGATGCATTAATATTGCATTAGGCAACTCGGACTGGGTTGTAGATACCGAAGCATCATTTCACGTTACCCCACAAAGACACTATTTTACTTCTTACAGAGATGGATTTTTTGGCTTTGTAAAGATGGGGAACAACGGTTCCTCAAAGATAGTGTGTAAGGGAGATGTACACATCCAGACTGATATTGGGATGAAGTTTGTGCTAAAAGACGTCAGACACGTACCAGCTATCCATCTTAACCTCATCTCAGGAGGGTGTACAGATGATGAACGGTACCACTCAGTATTCTGTAAGGGGTATTGGAAGCTGATAAAGGGATCTCTTGTCATAGCCAAGGCCAAGAAGTGTTGTTCACACTCTACAGAACACAAGTGCAATCTCCAATGGCGAAGTTAATGCCGCCATGGAAGGACCCTCATTAAACCTGTGGCACAGGCGTCTTGGCCATATGAGTGAAAAATGAATGCAAATCTTAGCAAAGAAATGGATTCTCCCCAGTGTCAAGAAAGCATGTTACCACTATTTGCTAGGCAAAGGTTTCTTTCTCCAATAAGAACTCTAAGGATAGGAAAATCCTGAATCTGGTGTATTCAAATGTGTGTGGTCCCATGGATGTGAAGTCACGTGGTGGTGTATCATACTTCATCACCTTCATCGATGATGCGTCAAAAAAGGTGTGGGTGTGCTTAATGAAATTGAAAGATCAGGTGTTTGAAATCTTTCAGAATTTCCAAGATAAGGTGGAAAGGGAGAGAGAGGCAAGCGGTTAAAGTGTCTCATGTTAGACAATAGGGGGGGAGTACACCTCGAATGCTTTCAAAAGTTATTGTGTCAAGCATGGCATAAGGCATGAAAGGACAGTGCCATATACCCCCCAACATAATGGTGTAGCAGAAAGAATGAATTGCACCATTATGGAAAGAGTTAGGAGCATGTTATCCATCGCTAAGTTACCAAAGCCGTATTGGGGTAAAGCAGTCCTCACTGCATGCTACCTAATTAATAGATCCCCGTCATTTCCTCTGGATGTGAAATCCTAGAGAGGGTTTGCACCAGAAATTCACACTTGAGGGTGTTCGGATGCAAGGCATAGATGCACGTGCCCAAGGAACAAAGATCCAAGTTGAATGAGAAAGCACTCCTATGCATCTTTTTAGTGTACTCAGATGAAGAGTTCGGTTATAGGCTATGGGATCCTGAGAATAAGAAGGTGATCAAGAGTAGAGATGTGATCTTTCAGGAAGACCTTACTATTAAAGACGTGAAGAAGTCAGAAAAGCCATAAATCTTCAATGGCTCAGAACCGGTTATAGTTCCTCCTACCGTAGTAAATGAAGACGGGGGAGAAATGCAACAAGAGGATGGGCCTCAAGAGTTTGACATGCCGGTTCCGAGTGATGCAGGAGCAGCCTGTTCAAGAAGTGCCACCTACAGTTGAACTAAGAAGGTCCTCTAGGGGACATAAAGCCTCTACCAAATACCCTTCATCGGAGTATGTCCTATACACTGAAAGGGGTGGACTAGAAAGCTACCAAGAAATCAAAGCCGACAAACACAAAGGGGTTTGGGTTAAAGCTATGCAAGAAGGGAAAGAATACTAGCATAAGAATCACACCTATGACCTAGTAAAGTTGCCTAAAGGAAAGAAGGCATGAGAGTTAAGTGTCGGGCAGATCCCTTCAATCAAGAGGAAGAAGGAAGACATAAAGAAAGTACCTTATGGGTCGGTCCTAGGAAGTTTGATGCATGCTATGGTGTGCATGATGTCATATATCACACATGTAGTTGGCAGGGTGAGCAGATTTATCACTAATTATAGCAAGGAACAATGGACAACAATCAAGTGGATATTCAAATATCTCTAAGGAATATCCAAACTATGTTGATGCTTTGGGGGAGGTATACCTGTGTTACAAGGGTACACAAATGCAGACATTGCTGGAGATGGAGACTCCAAAAAGTCAATCTCAGGATACTTGCTTACTTTTGTAAGGGGAGCAGTTTCATGGCAGTCTAAGCTGCAAAGACTGTTGCAACTAAGGAAAATCCATACTGACGGGAGTACGTCGGATATGATAACCAAGACCTTGGCCAGAGACAAGCAAGAGCTATGCAAAAGCATGGCTGGCATAGGTTCCATTTGAGCACCTAGTTGATCTGTGAAGGAAAACCTCCCTCCTGAGATTGAAGGGAGAGATTGTTAGGTGTCCTATCCCATGAGGGAGGGCCACCAATGAAATGTTCCCCAATATTAAGGCGAGTAGTGTGAACACAGCCCATTGGATTGATGGAGTGGATAACAACTCATAAAAGGTGGTTGTGGGTAAAGATTCTATCTTTGATTCTCTTAGAGAGAGAGCAAACCACATAAAAAGGATAATCTCACGTTGAGATGATAAGGTGGGTTTGTTAAAGGGTATCAAATCCCACATTATATGGAAAGCAACGTGAGAGGCTAGATAAGATAAAAAGGGTGTAGCATTCCTCATCTTGGGTTGATCCTCTTCTTGAAAAGCCTCTTATTGTTGTATCAAAATACAGAGAGCTTTTGTGTTCCTCTTCTTAGTGTATTTGAAAATACAGGGAACTTTCTTTTAGAGAGAAGAAGAAGAAAGAAAAAGTTACCCTTCTCTTAGAGAAGAAGTGAGACATAGAAAGCCTGTTAGAGAGAGGAAGAGAACCTTTTCTTTTAGGGAGAGAGAAAGCCTCTACAAATTAAAAAAAACCTCTGAGAGAGAAAAACCTCAAAAAGAGAAAACCTAACGAGAGAAAGACTCTAAAAGAAATCAGTGAACCCAAAAAAGCTTGTTTCTTGGAAGACCATTGTAACTATTATTTTAATAGCGCATTTGTTTCTTTCTCCCGTGGACGTAGCTTGAAAATGTGAACTACGTAAATTTTGATGGGAGTAAGTTTTATTTCTTATTTGCTTTATTTGCATGTTTTTCCCACTCCACACATTGGTTTTAGCATATTTTTGTGTCCCATATATCCGAGTTCTGCTGCACGCATCCGCATTCGTGCAAGAGGGCCCAACACCCCCCCCCCCCCCCCCCTCCCACCCTCCTACCCTCCCCTCCCCTCCCCTCCCCCTCCCTACCCCACAAAAAAAAAAAAAAATTAAAACTACAAACATCAACTTCGAACAACTGTTCAACACTAAGATTCCAGCAGGCATTTATCAAGAAAAAAGAAAAAGTAAAATGGGGCACGAGTTTAAGTAGGGAACTAAGAAATGTACAATCTCCTAGTCATGTAATATCCACGATATATTTACCCAAGGGCAAAAGAATTCATCTCCAATAAAACATATTAATAACTCAACAAAATAATATCAAACAAAATAGTTAGGAAAGGAGAAAACCGAAATCCTCACACACACGCACAAATCTTTGAGAAAAATGAGAGAGCAAGAAAGTAGAATGAAGGAATTGATAGTGCATCACAAAGGATGACAAAAGAAAGACAGTGATGAAAGAGGGAGCAAAGCAGAAACGAAGTCATGGGGAGTGCTAGTCTGTGTATGTGCATGTGTGTGCACACACGATTACGTGTGTGAGAGAGAGAAAGGTGCACGTGCGTGTGTGTGTGCGTGTGCGTGCGCGTGCGCGTGCGCGTGCGCGTGTGCGTGTGCGTGTGCGTGTGTATGTGTGTGTGTGTGTGTGAGACACAGAGAGAGAGGTATAGCTGGTGCTTTGCAGATAGCAAATGGAAGGGAGTTGCCCCACAGGAGGGAGACTAGCGAACTCAAAAAGACCCAAAATTTCCTCCAGAACCTAATGCTGCTCTGAGAATTTATTGAAACAAAGGCTAATGGAAAAGGAGCACAAAAGAATCAGTAACAATAGATGCCCCTGAAAATGAAAAATGGATTTTATAGTATATTCTACATGTATTATACACTACCATTTGATGTGTACCATAAATACCTACTCTCAACTATGGGTGGCTGAAGTCAATTTTTCTCTGCTCAAGCAGATTTGAAGTATGATTGACAACAGCCATCCATTGTTCACAACCAACAACTGATGATACATAGGTAAATGCACCAAACTTAACAGTCAGATATGCATGTCATGACATACTTTTCCTATAAGATTTAAACAACAGCCGAGAATCTGATCTTACTTTCTCATTAAACCTCAGCAATACAGTAGAAGAGTGGTCCTTTTCATTCAGAACCTCTGATTGTTCTTGCCTTTGATATGCCATGTTCGCCACCTCCAATAATGTCTCCCTCAACATAGAAGAAAGTTTATTATAAAAACTTCCAAAATTCAACTGAATGTTCCTTTCATTATTTGAAATAGTCTCCCCATATCCAGGACATAGCCCTGTGCTATTGCAGAGCCTCTCTCCACTGAGATATTCTTGCAGGAAAACAACAGCCTTTTCTATGTAGCTCTTGAAGGATTCTTCACACTGAGATTTCACCCAATTATGGTTAGTAAACTACTAATGAAAGAGAAATAAGTCCAATATAAGTCAATTATTTGTGTGAGTCACCGAACCTCTCCTTGCAAGTTGGAAGGCAAAAGGGAGCAGATATCACCTGCACACTTCTTAATATTTTCTAGAAATTCAGGATCAGCCAAGACTTTCTCAGCTAGTCTTAAAGCCTCCAAGCATGCATTACAGATAAACTCCAGTGGAAACTCTTTCAGGGAAGGAATTTCTATTCTAGATGAAGAGCCCTCAATCTCAAACCCATCAAAGGACCTTATGTTGCCCAAAGATGTACTTAGACCTGCAAAAACCAAGATCATACCCGCCATATCCCATATGTGATAAGAGAAGCTGATCAGAAAAGAATGGGGAAATGAATAAAAATTAATTTGTAGCTTGTCATGGATAGACTCAACCATGAAAATTTTAATTAATCACACACGAGATGAGAATACCATGAAAATTTTAATTAATCACACACGAGACGAGAATATGATAAGCAACATCATTCTTGTTGAGAAAAAACCAGTGTGCAGGGAAGAGGAGCAGCATGAATCAATTGGAAAAAGGGGACATAAATTTTCAAATAAAAAAAAAACAATGCATTTCCTAAGAATCGCTAGATATTGCCATCCTTAGAAGTGCAGCATGAACTTCAAAAGGAAATGTTGTCACTTGATGTTAATAGACAATATAAAAGGATAAATCATAATAAATATATCTCGATTATGTCCATATCAACCAAGCACTAGCCCTACAATACACTCTCTGGAAAGACTTCTTTTATTAGGACATGTTAATCAGAACCTAGACAAGCATGCAGAAGTAAGTATTTGTAATTAAAACAAACCTTGAAGTTACTTCACACATCCCAGTGTTAATTCCTAGTGAGGTTGTATAGGATCATGCATCAGACATAGATTCTCATCAGAACTACAATACGGTAATGCCAAGTCAAGTAAGATACATTAGTTTCCACAAAACTCATGTTAAAAGTCAAATCACGAAAGAGTAACATTTATCACTAACTATTCCCTTCTAGTTCACCACACACACACACATATGTAACAAACACACAAACGGATACAAACTTGTTAAATGATTTTTAAATTTAAATTTATGGCAGGTTCCAATGCCGGTGAAAGAAGGAGGCTTGTGTCAAGTTGGAAGTGTAAAACTTTTGCCACATCTATTTCATGAATCTTGAACCAATGTTATACACTAATGCTAGGGTGTTCCCCTTGATAGAGCAGAATGCCGAATAGGATTCATGTAACTGACCCCAAATAGTTGGGATAAGGCTTAGATGATAACGACGACGATGATGATGATGATGATGATGAAGATGAAATTTACATTTAAAATGAGAACCATGAAACAGAATAACTGAACATAGAACATTACTAAAACTTCCATGATCCCATTAACTTCTATGCATGTCAATAGGATTATTTGTGCTGAACAGAATGCAAAAAATGCACCTTCCCATCGAAATTTTAAATGGATATGACTTTATTATTCTAGGGTTACACCTTTTATTGATTCTGCTTTGTTCTACTACTTACTTCTATTTGGTCTGAACTTGTTTGCAAGTCTCCTTCATGAGTCTTTCTTCTTCATAGACCTCATTAAAGGGGTTGAAGTGCCACATCCATCTAAATGTCTTCTGACTTTTGAAATGGTAGACTGAAACTTGGTTTATACTCCCATCCTTTGTAACATTCTGGAAGACCATGGAATTTATGGCCTTTCCAATCAACTTCCAACTGATGAGACCTCTCAATGCGTACCCGTCATGTAGAATAAATGCAAGCCACTACAATGATTTTAGGAGTACTAATGGAAATGTCCTTAAATTATTTGCTTGCTGCATTTCAATTGCAACAAATTCTTTACCTCATCCTTGAGGCTTATTCCCAAGTTACTGGCAATAAACATTGAAGCAAGAAATTAATATCTTTCGACAAGTCACAATTGGGAACTTTGCAGCGTCCTCTGACAAACATGCTGAGTGTAAGTGGGTTTACACCATTAACGTCAGAGAAAATGGGACAATTACAAGGAGCAATGCCTAGCTTGTTATGAAAGGTATTTATTTAGGATTGCTCATCAGTCACTCACTGCAAATATGAATACCGACAGCTTCAGCCCTTTTTTTGTTAAAGACATAGTTATATTCAGTGTACAAAAATAACACTTCATTAACAATAATTTTCATACAGAGATTTAAATGACAATGTCTAGCTATTCCATATCATCTTCTTTATAGTCTGTCAACCTCAAAGAGCCTTTATGGTCTCAAGTAGACTCCAAAATTTTGGTTTCAGAAATTTTGAGAATTTAACAGCTTCAAGCAAGGAGAGTAATTTCATTTTTTTCCTTTAATCATTAACATAAAGATTTATTATTAGAATATTATTATAAAGAAAATAAATAATTATAAAACAAAGGTCAATAGATTTCAAGACAGCATATTAGGTTTCCAACATTGAAATTGTAACTGAATAAGACGATTCTCAAAGAATCCCTTCATTGGCAAGGATATCAGCCTCTTGGTTAGCTCCCCTAAGAGTGTGCACCAAAGTCACATTCTTAGTGTCACAAATGTGAAGATCACCAAATATCATAGCCAACCACCAAAGAATGGAGCACCCCTTATGGGCCCGACTTATGATATAAAGACAATACCATTTCCTTTTGTTTCATTTTCTAGTGAGATTATCTCATCGGTTCATATGATCATTTTATTTATCAGTAACTGAAAATTTTATCAATATAGCAATAGTACAAAAGAAACTTCAAAAAAATTCCATAATACATGCCAAGGCAGTATATCACAGACAGCCCATATGACGATACTGCTATCTCTAGGGGATATTTGACTCTAGGAAAAATTTGATCACATTTCTTCTTAAGTAGTAATTTCCATCTGAGCTTCACATGAAGGACTTAGGATATCCTTCGGCTAATGGCAATAAATTGTCACCTAGGGTACATGTTGTAACATAGTAATCGGGATCATATGGCACGGGTCTATTTGCCAAAAGCAAGATTGTGCATACTCCATCAATATCTGAATCAATGACCATACACAAACTTTTTTTCCAGATCCTACTCATGCTGATAGCAAGTTAGAAGCATTATCTGCCCGATAATTGCTGTTACAACATCTTGAAACATTTTCACACTCTTAGTAAGCGTATGAATGTGCTGCGATGCAATCAGCTTGCTGTTGTTCAGAAACATTATTCTCTATCATCAGGTCCAAGCCTCAAAATTATATTCTGATGGCCACAAAAATGCCCTCCCATTTAGATATTTGCACTAATTCTATTGGCAATGAGTGTTGAATCTAGCGGTAGCTTATTGGGTTGACTTGGTACATCTCTCACTAGAAACAAGAATCATTTCTAATGTCTAAAATAGACCGTGGGGTGATGTCATTCATAACAATGAAATAATTCCAATGTTACTATCAACAAACATTGACTTTCCCCACAATCCTCCAACGTGATAGAATAAATGCAGTGTGGATTGCCTCCAACACAACTCTCATTATCTAACTTAACACATTTAAGGTTCTGAAGAAGCTTGTTAGTCGCTCATCACTGTTCTTTTCCACAGACAAGTAGATTGTAACTTTGGTGACTAAGGCCATGACCACCAAGTTTCATCAGTCTCTATTTGACAAACTCTCCCCCAATTGACATTGAGTAGATTTTGAGAACCATATTGGATTATGCATCTGTTTATATAATTCTAGCACTACCAGCAATCTTGCCATCTGTTTCTCCCTGTGTCCTTTATTTTTCCTTAATATACAAAATATTTTTTCTAACAACATTTACGCCTGTCAAACCCACAAGGCTTCACTACTTCACTTCATGAGAATCAATCATTCTAAAATAATATAGGTATCATATATGCAAGCCAAGTAGAATAGATTCAAATAATAAACCAAAATGACTTGTCATTGGTAGATAAAAAAAGGATTCTAAACTACTTGAACTGGCCATGTAAGCTATAATCCATGGACACATATGTTAGATAACTAGAATTAGAGAAAACCAAATCGAATGTCTCACCTATGTCCTCAGGCATGATAATTTTCCTTGAATCAGCAACCACCCATATGATGAGGAAAGTTACGACAAGCGGTAGGCACCTCATTTTCACTGCATATAGATAAGAAAGATAATTATTTTCCTAAAATTATGTCAAAATATACCAAGACAGTTCCTCCAAGTTTGGAACCGGTGGATCATTTAGCAGGCAGAACCCTCTGTAGACAACAGCCACCCACCAGAGCAACATCCAATCACAAAATTCTATTTTCCAAAGAATATAATGGATTCCCAACAACCCCAACTGTATATTTAAGTAAGGGGAAAAAGAAAATACCCAACACAGGAAATCTCATGATTTTGGATTAAAGATGGAAGAGAAACCACTCAATTTTCGCTATTAAAACTCCCCAAACCAGAAGTTTTTTCACGTTACAGAAAAATAAGATAGCCAAAATGAGATTTCGGAGAGAGAGTAACCATCCTTTTGTTAGGAAAAGGAAAAGAGGTGTCAGAAAAAATCAAACGAAATTATTGTGGAAAACAGGGATAATCAATGAGCAACTCACCAGTAAAAACCCACCCAAGAACAGGAAAGAAGAGACTTTGAGATTGAGGATGGCGGACAGAGCGCGATTCAAGACTTACCATCAAGGCAAGAACACTTCGAAGACAGAAAACAGAATATTTTGGGTTTGGCAGCACGCTAATGAAGTATGCCTAAAAATTATAAAAGTACTCCCAAAAATAAAATAAAAAAGTTTATAAAGCAAAAAGTTTATGTAGAGCCGAGGCTTTAAACAATCAAATTAGAGCCTATCTCAAAAATTTTATTAAAAAAAATTGTTTTGATGCCCAAATACCTTCAAATTGATTATTAAGATGCATGGACATGAAAAAAAATAGATTTCAAGTTTTAGAAATAGTGCATATTGTATTGCATTCTTGGACCGTAAATTTTCAAGATTTTCAAGTTTTTATATATATCCTCGATCTACAATATTTTTTAAGCTCTAAATTTTATATTTAAAGATAAAAATATATATTAAGGCTATCACAAAGATTTCCAATACTGAAACCACATTTCTCAATACTATTTGAAGGTGGGATCTAATTTGATTGTTTAGAGTCTCGGCTCTATACAAATCGCACCCATATATAAAACATGAGAAGGTTTGTGACTAGATGTCAATCAAGAAATTCATCTTAGGTGTAGAGTTTAGTGAGGATGGATTAGAGTTGGTTAGGATGGAGAATAAAGAGAAGTAAGTTAATTCCAGATATGAAGAATTAGCATGATGATTGAAGGTTTTCCCACGTTTCCATCAATAAATGGCCTACAACATATGTTCATTCCTTATTGCATATAAATGGAACTAATGCTAGAAAATAACATAGAAGCCGATCTTATGTGTTCAACGGTGTATGATCTCTCATTACAAATATGTACTAAGGACTCAAAATTTAAAATTTCCTTTTTAAAATACATTTTTAAAAATAGATTATCATATTTAGCATACATAAAATGCTTTTAATAAATATTTTTCTTGATGTATCAAGTATACATTGTGTTCTTATGGGTGCAATTTACAAAATATACTTTTATATTTTCGACCAGTACCTTTATTGTAAAAGAAAAAGTTTATATAGAGCCCAGGCTCTAAACAATGAAATAAGAGTCTACCTCAAAAATTTTACTAGAAGAGGTTATTTTGATGCCCAAATATCCTCCTATTGATCATCTCGACATCAAGATGCATGGACATGAGAAAAAAAATGGATTTCAAATTTTAAGAATAGCGTATTTTATGACACATTTTTGGACTGTCAATTTTCAAGATTTTCAAGTTTTCATAGATTTGTCGATATATATTATTTTTGAAGCTTTAAACTTTATAACTAAAATGAATATTTATTTTAAGGCTATCACAAAGATTTCCAATATTGAAACCTCATTTCTAGATACTATTTGAAGGTAGGCTCTAATTGGATTGTTTAGAGCCTAGGCTTTATACAAACCATTGACAATATTCTCCTTATCTTTAAATAAAAAAGTTTATATAGGGCCGAGGCTCTAAACAATCAAATTAGAGCCCACCTCAAAAATTTCACTACAAGCGGTTATTTTGATGCCCAAATATCCTCAAATTGATCATCTCGACATCAAGATATATCGACATGAAAAACAAATGGATTTCAAGTTTTGGAATTGTTTTTGGACAGTCAATTTTCAAGATTTTCAAGTTTTCATAGTTATACTCGATCTACACTATTTTTTAACCTTTAAATTTTATAATTAAAGATGAAAATATATTTTAATGATATCACAAATATTTTCAATATGGAAACCACATTTCTCGACACTATTTAAAGGTGTGTTTTACTTTGATTGTTTAGAGCCTAGGCTCTATACAAACCTCACCCTATCTTTAACAATATAATAATACTGGGTTATGCTAAGGTTTTCATAATATGGAGTATTTTATAATTGTACTCAATAAATTTTGGATACTTATGTGCCCTTGTTTTGTATATGGAACATTTTTTTTTTAGTATGAGGAGTTTTTGTCATTAAGAGGCGTGTGACATCATCTATTGGGGTATGACATCACTCACATAGGGCACACTGTGGCATTTAATGATCCATATAGGTAATGTCGCACCTCTCGTAATGACAAAAAATACCTTTATCAAAAAAATGCTCCATGTACAAAACAAGATAAAATTAGTGTCCAAAAATTATTGAGTACAATTATAAAATGTTATATGGTGTGAATACTCTAACATAACCCTATAATAAGGAACAGTCTAAAAAATGCATATGTGCAAATTTGAATAGTGTTTCACCGTGTAACGACTCTAGTAGAGCCGTTGCGGTTTTGCCTAAAAAAATGCGATGGTTGGCAAAATCCTGTGTTTTTTGGGTGAAAAATTTGGCTGCAACGGACCTACTATGTCAAAAACACGGGATTTTGCCAACCGTTGCGTCGAGCCTATGGGCATCCGTTGCGGTTAATCTATGCCATCCAAAAAACATTGGCGGCGCCGAGCCTATGGGCGAAAACACTTTTCATTTTCGCCCATAGGTGTTGCGTAGTGGTTTCCCTATAATAATATATAAGTATATAATATTTTCTTTAATTTTTCATTCTATTATTATTATCAAATTGATTAATCATTAATTTTTGCATAATAATTAAAATCGTGAATATAACATGCAATTACAAATTTTATGCAATAAAATTAACACACGTTATATCTATTATACTTTTGAAATTCAAAATTTTACTTAAAATTCAAAATAAATTAAAATTTATAATTTGGTATTAAAAACTATATTCTCACTTTCATAAAATATTTCACAAATTTAAAATGAAACAATTGATTTAAAAAAATTATGAACTCATGTTATAAATTTTACATTCATTTTGTTTCCCACTACTTGATTCCAATCAACAAATAGTTCAATGTGTGTGTGGTTCACACACACATTATTGATTCCAATCAACAAATAGTTCAAAATGAATGTAAAATAGTTATAAATTTTACGTTCATTTTGCCTCCCACTACTTGATTCCAATCAACAAATACTTCATTCCACTATTTGTTTCACACTTGTGTGTGTGCTTCAAATTGGTGGCATATACCATAGGTTATTATTGCATAAAATATACAATGGCGATAAGTGAGGAAATTATAACAACCTAACATAAAGCTGATCTTTACATTTTTTCTTTTTAAAATACATTTTTAAAAGTAGATCCCTATGTTTAGCATACATAAAATACCATTAACAAATATTTTACTTGATGTATACAGTGTACTCTTATGGATACACTTTAGACAATATACTTTTATATCAGCCATCTTCTTGGTGGAGTGGTGTACATCAATAAATAAACTACAAAAGTCAATTTTCATTCTTTAATCTTTAATTTAGGATTCTATTGTTATCATCAAATTTATTTATTATTAATTTTTATATAATAATTAAAATCGTAAATATAAGATGCAATTACAAATTTTATGCAATAAAATTAAGACACATCGTTACATCTATTGCACTTTGAAATTCAAAACTTTACTAAAAATCCAAAATAAATTAAAATTTATAATTTGGTATTGAAATTTATATTCTCATTTTGATAAAATATTTCTCACTTTTAAAATAAAACAACATATTTGGTCTAAAAAATTATGTACTCGTGTTATAAATTTTGCATTTATGTTGTTTCCCACTATTTCATTCAAAAACTATAAACTTTATATATAAAATTATTATTTATTTATTAATATGTTATATTAAATATTTATATAAATTTCTTATAAATACAATATCAAAACATAAAAATATTAAAATTATTTAATAAATGAGTTTAAAATTCTCACTATAAATTAAAATGTGTAGTTATAACTATAAAATAAAATTGATAATTAAAAAATATAATATTAATTACAGATAAACCTACAATATAGTCTAGCAATACCATAATTAAAAACTTCTATTTTTTTCTTATACGCATTTAAAGCATTAAGCCATCCTATCATTTGTAATACACATGCTCCTTTCAAATATATAATGAAACAATATATTCATTTTAAATAAATCCTACATTCATGTTGATTTATTTGAAATGAATTTGACACAAGTTCAACAGGTAATACAACATAGTGCCAACATAAAAATGACACATTGCACTACTACAAGGTTTATTAAAAACAAACCTACAATATAATCTAGCAAGATCGTAATAAAGAACTTCCAGTTTGTAATTTTTAAGCCATTTAATGAATATGTCCCGATAAACTCTATAATAAAACAATATGTCAACTTTAAATAAATTCTACATTCATGTTAAGTTCTTTAAAATGAATTCCCATAAGTCGAGTAGATAGCACAACATAGTGGCACCACAAAAATGACATTTTGCACTGCTCGAAGCAGTGGTTTACTTAAGAATACTACTTGTTTAAAATAACAACACAAGTTGTGCGAGTAACACAACATAGTGCTACAACAAAAGTAACGTATTGTATTGTTCTGCATAGTAGTTTACTTAAGACTAATATTAATTTATTGTCAACTTTAAATCTTAATCAATTATTTATTCCTTTATAAGTATAATATCAACTTATCAGTCAAATTATAAAGTTATTAAGTTACATTTGTTCTTACTCAATATAAGTTACATTGGTTATTCTTACGTGTTCTTATAGTAGAAAAGTTTCACTATTACCTCTCCCTAAGTATCTCTAGAGCCATTTATGGTTGACACCTAAACTCATGGCTGGCAAGACAATAAATCGGCACCATAAACATAGTACATTGCACTACTCTAAGCAGTATTTTACTTAAAATTAATATGCAAAACTATAGTTTATTAAAAGGAAAAAATTTATATAAGGTTGCAATCTTAAAATGTAGAATTAAGGTGCACTTAAAAAATCCATCATAAAAGACTATTTTGAAGTTGGAAAACCCTCTAATTGATCATCTCCACTTCGAGATGTTTGAATATGAAAAATAAAAAAATATTTTGAGTCCCAAAAATAGTACATCTTGCAACATATTATCTGGGCCATCCATTTTTCATATTTTTATATGTTTGTAGATCTATTTGATTTGAACCATTTTTTAGTCTGAAATTTTATAATTGGAGACAAAAATAGATTCTCGAGACATCTTATGAATTTTTTATAT